AAGGGCATCGCTACTAGGAGCAAGGACGCTACTAGGGGCTCCTGGCCATACTACTAGGAGCAAAAAGCTACTAGTAACAAAGGGCATCGCTAAGAACGGAACGATCGGACGCTTACTAGTAGGTCGCGCCCAGGCTCAGCGTTGACTCTTTTCCTTTCAGCATCGCACAGCATGGCGCGCCCGCACGACGACGATTGCGACAGGGATTTGGAGAGCCCAGCAGCTTGGACAGTTCCTGAAGCGCCTGGAGAAGCCTTTAGTTTCTGGCAAAAAGCAGAGACAGACAGTTGCCAGCAGGATCAAAGAGGTCCGGAAAAGGTGCGCGTGAAGTTGTTAGGGGAGATGCTATCTAACGTAAAGGTTCCGCATGAGGTGGATCAACTGTGGCAATGGGTCATTCTCACGAAGCAAAAGCTCGAAGTTAGACTGCCAGGCTTGGGCCTTGAGAGTTCGCAACTGAAATCCTATCGTGAAGTTTGGCCACGCATTGTCTACTCGAAAATTATCCCGGCAAGAGACCCCAAACAGTGTGTGTGTGTGTGAGGTCTAGAGGTGTAGCAGCAGAAAGTCTAGAGATCTAGACGCATTGGGTCCAGAGAGGTGATGGTGGTGATCAAGGTGTAGATCGTGGTGGTGGTGAGTGAGTCTGAGCGAGAGCGAGAGCGAGTGTGCGTGTGAATGTGAGCGCGAGTGAGTGTGAATGTGAGTGTGAGCGTGAGCGTGAGTGTGGATATTGCGTCAAGTGAGTGATGCAACATCCACATTGCTTTGGACAGTGGAAGACATTGCAAGTGTCATTCAATTGCTGCGCCTTCATCAGGACTAGCCAAGACGGTGAGGAGGATCGAGCCGATGCTCCTTAATGAGGACGACGATGAGCTCGCCCATGCCTATGTCCGCATGGTGGGGGCAGAGACGCATGATTTTACCTACAGTGACAATGACGATGATTGGATCACGTTCAAAGAGCCCAATAAGAAGGACCTTGATGCCTACTTGATGGACTTTGTCGAGCTGGCTAACGATGGAAAGGAGGAGAGAGGCTTGAGGCCTTAGAAGGTGGCAACAAGTTTTGTGAGGAGAGTTGCTGAGGAGTATGACACCATTATCATCTTGGACACTGGAACGGACATTTCGGTTCTCCCTATGTCGTTCAACAAAGTTGGAGGTCCCCTGGCCAAGACGAGCACTCTGAGAGATGCTCATCACGGAGATGCGATGAAGGGTGGAAAGATGAGGCTGGCCATGGTGGCGTTGGAAGATGAAAGTGGCCAAGCGGTGGAACTGAGAGAGAGTTTTTTGCTTTGTCCAACATGGTTGGGCCCCTTCTTGCACTTGGGAACCTGCTTCGTCGAGGTTGGCAAATTGAAGGAGAAGCTGGAACTGTGGGTTGACTCATGGGTTGTTCAGCAACGGACAAGCCAGAATTCGAAGGTTGATGGAAGCTTCATGGAGGGCCAGCTTGAGGAAAAGAATGCCAGGGCGGTGACCATGGACTTTGCGGGCCTCAGGCACCTTACAGCAGATCGATGTGAGCAAGCGCTACAAGGACAGTTCAACAGGGTTGACTTCCTATACCGTTCAACCATTGTTTGGAAGATGGCAGAGCAGAAGTGAGGAATGTGAGGGAGAAGACATTTTAATGGCTCTCGGGGTGATCAGCCCTGGAGAGGACTCCCGGTTTCTGAGGCCAGACGGATAGATGAGAAGAAGAAGAAGAAGCAAGGGTTTCGAGGATGGAGTCTATGAAGAAGATGGGGATGAAGAGGTCGGAGAGCAAGCAGAAAGCACCGTTGAATGAGGAGATCAATGAGGTGGAAGCCGAAGAAATCTTTTTAGGAAAACCTCGTCCTTAAGAGAGTTGAGGAGAACTTTGGGGAAGTGTGATTTCGGGCGAAGAAAGAAATAGAAGCATGGAAGATGCAATTCCCCATTACCGGCATTTTGCTGAGAACTTGAGCATCGAATTGACCCACAAAGAGTGAAAGCAGATGAAGGTGAGGACAAGAGGACAGAAGGTGCCCAGAATCCATCCATCGAAGGCTGAGAGGCGAGTTCACGAATTGATCCACTTTACGCCTTCAAAATCCTGGGTTTTTGATGGGCCGCGAGCGGACTTCAAAAAATATTGTTTTTGCGTAGCTCGGAGTGGTGGAGTAGTTGGATCCGCCCGGAACCGATATGATAAATGAAAAGCTTCGACTGTCGATTTTGAGATCCGTTTTTTCCATGAGGCCAGGGGGCGTTAGATTTTGCGATTTGAATTTTTCATGACGTTTTTGGCCGCTTTTGTTGATGGAAATATTGGTTATTGTCGAAATTGTACGTTTTTGTGCGAAAATGTAAGGATATTGCAATTTTTCTGCTTTATGTAAAGTAATTCTATTATGAAATATTGATAAACTCGCGCTTTTCGATAACGTTGATCTTAAGAATTGCGTTTGCTAGGTGTTTTTCATATAAAATGTTGTTAATAACGGTATTGTCGTCAATTAATAAGGTGATGAACTTTGGAAATGATATGTTAATTGCATATGTTTTGTTTTTGATAAAACTATTACGTTTAGTTGTCGAAAATTACATCAATATTTAAAATAGATTGACATAGAAAATAATACTTAAAAATATATACATTCTTCTTATAACAAAAATATAGAGTGCTTATTGAAATTTAGGGCGTAATTATTCGGATATTTTTAATAAGATTTGAATATATTCTTATTTGGTGAAATTGCTTATTGAATAAAAATAGTTGTTTTAAATAGGTCGTAATATGGCACGCATTAATGTATGTATGTATTTATTCGGAATCGGCAAAAGAAGAATAATATGGTGTTTTTTTGAGGTATGTGTAAAAATATGATTTGTTATTATATTATTGAAAATGTTATAGATTGGTTTTTGATAATAGATTGAAACATATTTCTAATAGTGGTTAATCTGTGAGCCACAACAATGTGCACGCCAACATGGCACCCAACATGACTGCACAGCCATGTCAGGTATCGGACCTCTGAGTTGCTTTCATCTTGAACAAGATCTTTGGTCAAAGATACCTCCTCCGTTCTGAAACACAAAAAGTTTAACTTTTGACGCCAGCTTAGTAAAGATTTTAGTAAAGGCATGTTCAACCAAATGTTTTGAATCTGTGGGTGCCAAGATGAACACCGACCAACACAAAACCTGGTCTTCTGGGCAAGAGTCAATGTTTGGTCTCTCCGCTGAATCTTACTAA